AAGATATCCATGAGATATCAAGTGGCAGCATCAAGGAAACACATTCTCACTGTTCTGGAGACCAGAAGTTTGAAATCAAGGTATTTCAGGCAGGAACATGTTCTTTCTGAAGATGCTAGGAAGAATCTGCTCCAGGCTCCCTTCTAGTTGGCTTGTAGATAGTCATCTCCCTGGTGTTCTGTCTCTGTGTCAAAATCTCCCCCTTTTGTAAAAGGTCTGAAGTCATGCTGGATTAGGGTCCACCTTAATAACCTCGTTTACCTCTGTAAAGATCCCATTTTGAAATAAGGTGTTTTTTTTTGTTTTGGTTTTGGTTTTTTTTGAGACGGAATCTCACTCTGTCGCCCAGACTGGAGTGCAGTGAAGCAATCTCAGCTCACCGCAAGCTCCGCCTCCTGGGTTCACGCCATTCTCCTGCCTCAGCCTCCCGAGTAGCTGGGAATACAGGCGCCCACCACGACGCTCGGCTAATTTTTTTGTATTTTTAGTAGAGACGGGGTTTCACCATGTTAGCCAGGACGGTCTCGATCTTCTGACCTCGTGATCTGCCTGCCTCGGCCTCCTAAAGTGCTGGGATTACAGGTGTAAGTCACTGCGCCCGGCCATATATATATATATACACACACACACATATACATATATATACACACATATATATATATATAAGTTTTAGGGTACATGTACACAACGTGCAGGTTTGTTACACAGGTATACATGTGCCATGTTGGTTCGCTGCACCCATCAACTCATCATTTACATTACGTATTTCTCCTAATGCTATCCCTCCCCCAGCCCCCACCCTCCAACATGCCCCAATGTGCGATGTTCCCCTCCCTGGGTCCATGTGTTCTCATTGTTCAACTCCCACTTATGAATGAGAATATGCAGTGTTTGGTTTTCTGTCCTCGTGGTATTTTGCTGAGAATGGTGGTTTCCAGCTTCATCCATGTCCCTGCAAAGGACATGAACTCATCCTTTTTTATGGCTGCATAGTATTCCATGGTGTATATGTACCACATTTTCTTTATCCATTCTATTATTGATGGACATTTGGGTTGTTTCCAAGTATTTGCTATCGTGAATAGGGCACATAAGGTCACATTCTTAAGTACTAGGGATTAGGAATTCAACATCTTTTTGAGGGAGATGTAGCTCAACCCATATCTGACTAAACAACTCTTTATTTTAGATTCTGTGACAGTAGTTGGTGTGGTCTCTATTTTCCTGACTAGGCTTTAATTGAAAGTGTATATCTATTTTCTTTCATTTTTCCAGGGTACCCAGAGAGCCTCTCATTCTGCAAAATCATGTTCCTTGATTCTGGGAATTTTTCTTGAATATTTTACTGATAATTCCTTCTTTTCTCTGATGTCTACTAGTACTTCTGTTATTTGGAAGTTGACCTCTGACTATTTAATTTTCTTTTCTCACTTATTTTCCATCTTTTCCTGTACTTTATGAAAGGACTCCTTTACTCTAACTTCAACCTTTCTATTGAGTGTTCTATTGAGCCTTTTTTTTGTTGTTCTGATCATTCCCAGTTTTTTTTTCTATTTCTTTTGGTTTCTTATATGAGAAGTTTTCTTCATATGCCTGGTGATACTTGATTATCTCCTCATATTTAAAAGGAGGATCATAAAAGCTATTGTAAATAACATACATTCTCTTCTTGGGCTAGTAAGAGAACCATCCTCCAAATTCCTACTTGATTGTCAGAATTCTGGAAGCCAAAAAGAAAAGGCCTCAGTAAGGGTTTCAATACTGAGCACTTTAACTTAATTCAGTGTTTTCTGTAGAACGCTTGACCTCCAATTGTGTCTACTGCCCACCCTCAGTGTCAGAAACAATCGTCAGTCTTCTGCTGGGGTATTCAAGAAGGCAGTCATTCGGCAATACAAACTAACGAAGGAATCTAGATTCAAGCTTTCTTTAAAAAAAAAAAAAAAAAGCTTTATTGAGATAAAACTCAGATATCATAAAACTCATTTAAAGAGTACAATTCAATGTTTTAGTCTGTTCAGAGTTGTGCAACTATTACCACAATGAATTTTAGAACATTTTTGTCACCCCAAAAAGAAACTCCATACCCTAGAGTCACTTCCCATTTCCCTCTAACCTCCCCTACTCCCAGTCCTACTCAACCACTCTATCTCTACAAATACACAATTTCTGGACACTTCATACAAATGGAATCATACAATGTGGTCTTTAGTATACTTAGCATGTTTGTTTGTTTGTTTTTGAGACAGAGTCCCACTCTGTCACCCTGGCTAGAGTACTGTGTTGCTATCTTGGCTCACTGCAACCTCTACCTCCCTGGTTCAAATGATTCTACTCCTTCAGCCTCCCATGTAACTGGGATTATAGGTGCCCGCCACCACATCCAGCTAATTTGTGTGTTTATAGTTGAGACGGGGTTTCACCATGTTGGCCAGGCTGGTTTCAAACTCCTGACCTCAAGTGATCTACCCGCCTTGGCCTCCCAAAGTGCTGGGATTACAGGTGTGAGCCACCGTGTCTGGCCCACTTAGCATGTTTTAAAGGTTTATTTGTGTTATAGCATGTATCATACAATTCCGTGGTTGTCTGTGACTGGCTTCTTTGACAGCATAATGCTTTCAAGGTTCATCATGTTATAACATGTATTAGTTCTGCATTCCTTTTTACTGCCAAATAGTATTCAATTGTGCAGATACACATTATATGTAACCTTATCAGCTGATGGACAACTTGAGTTGCTTTTACTTTGGGGCTATGATGATTGAGCTGCTTCTTAAACAGATTTTCAAGAAACCCTCCTATTTTTAGCACCACTCTCACCTCCTCCCTGCCAAAAATACCTGATGCTACCAATTCCTGAGCCTGAGGAGTATTTTCTACTTTTGCTCCTGCCAGTTAGGATTGAACATTTTTAAGTCTACTAAAAGTTTATCACCAGTTCACTTGCTTTCCAATTTCCAAATTTTATTGTTACTGTCTCTTCTTTCATTCTCTCTACTTGTGTAGTTCAAATCTTCTAAAAGTATCCTTTACTGTCACCTTGCTGGACTATCAAAGGGAGTAAAAGTAAATGTGTCTTTTTCTTTTTTTTTTTTTTTTTGAGACGGAGTCTCGCTCTGTCACCCAGGCTGGAGTGCAGTGGCGCAATCTCGGCTCATTGCAAGCTCCACCTCCCAGGTTCACACCATTCTCCTGGCTCAGCCTCCAGAGTAGCTGGGACTACAGGCACCTGCCACCACATCTGGTTAATTTTTTGTATTTTTAGTAGAGATGGGGTTTCACCATGTTAGCCAGGATGGTCTGGATCTCCTGACCTCGTGACCTGCCCGCCTCGGTCTCCCAAAGTACTGGGATTACAGGTGTGAGGCACCGTACTCGGCTGTAAATGCGTCTTTCACTGAGACATTTTTACTTAGAAGTCCTTTCAATTATTTTCAGCCTTCATTCTTTCTCATGTATAGATCTGAAGGCTGTAACTCTTCCTCTAAGCATGGCTCTATACACATTCTTTAAGCTATACTATATTTTCATGGTTCTTTTCAAAATAGTTTAATGTTATTTCTTCTCTAATACCTGAATTACTCAGGAATATATTGCTTATTTTCAAACAGCTGACAATTTTCTAGTTTTCTAGTTTGGTAACCCATTTCTGGCTTAATTCCAACATGTCAGAAAATACTCAAGAATTGATCATTTTGACTTTTTTATTGTCCAGCATGTGTCAATTTGGGAAAAACTTTCATAGGCACTTAAAAAAATTTGCATTCTGTAGGTATTAGGTGAAATGTTTAATGCATGTCAATCAGATTCATTTGATAATTAGCGTTTAAATCTTTTATATATTTTTGTCTCATTATTCTAATTAGAGAGGCATGCTGAAATATCTCATATTATGCTTACGGATTTGTCTAATTCTCCTTTTAGTTTTGTCCATTTTTTGCCTACCATACTGGCAAAGATTAGAAAGAATGGTAACACAGTTAAGAAACCCTGTGGTGGCCGGGTGCGGTGGCTCACGCCTGTAATCCCAGTACTTTGGGAGGCCGAGGCGGGAGGATCACGAGGTCAGGAGATCAAGACCACCCTGGCTAACATGGCGAAACCTCATCTCTACTGAAAAATACAAAAAATTAGCCAGGCGTGGTGGCAGGTACCTGTAGTCCCAGCTACTCAGGAGGCTGAGGCAGGAGAATAGCATGAACCCGAGAGGCGGAGCTTGCAGTGAGCCGAGATCGCGCCACTGCACTCCAGCCTGGGCGACAGAGCGAGATTCCATCTCAAAAAAAAAAAGAAAGAAAGAAACCCTGTGGCAAAGGTGTAAATTGGAATGTCTTTTCCAGATTGCAGTTTGGCAACAGCCAGCAATATTTTAAATAAACATCTGTATCTTCGAAACCAGTTATTTTACATTTAGAAATTGATTTTAGGCAGGAAGGGAGATCCAGACAGGCTCTTCATGGATACCAAACACTGCTTAGCAGTTACACTGATTTGTAAATTCTAACTGAAGCCTCATACTATTAAGATGAAACATACCTGAGTCTTCTGGAAGCCAAGACTTAAAAATACATTTTACTCTATTTCCTGAACAATGTAATTGAGTATAACACATGACCCACATTAATTATCCCTCTCACCTCTGACTGACATCATGGGAAAATATACAAATACAGACAACACACACATATATGTATATATAAATATATGTATATTACTGCCTCAGCTTCTTAACTAAAGCCAATTTATTCCCGCAGCTATGATATGCTAACTATGAAGAATGGGGAAACGGGCAGTTGTAGGCCCAAAAGAATAGGCTCAAATCATATTTTAAATGAGACTTTTTTTTTAAATCAGCCCTCTTTAAAGTATATGAGCCTCCTATGCTCTGCACTTAGATGACAAGAACAATGCATGTGTATACACATTATGTGTTCTGTGATTTCTTTTTTCAACATTTTGCTTTTCCTACTCTTTAAGATTTTCTATTAAAGAAGTATCTTGTGCTCACTTCAGCAGCGCATATACTAAAACTGGAATGATACAGAGAACATTAACATGGCCCCTGCAGAAGGAGGACACACAAATTCGTGAAGTGTTCCATATTTTTAAATTTTTTAAAAAATGCATCTCATCCCTTGGAGGGCAGAGTACATCCTAGCAATTTTTACTTGTAACTTCCATCATATGCATTAGACTAAATCAGATAGCTTCAGGAAGTTTCAGCATTATAAATTGAAGTTTCTTTATAGGAATAAAAGTAGTAGTAGTTTAAAAATAGCTTTATTAAAGGAAATCAGGAACTTTATAACAAGGACAGAGTAAACAAACTCATTCTGTTAAAAAGAAAAGTAAATATTTTAGTCTCTGTGGGCTTGAGTCTCTGTCGCATATCCATTTTTTTCCCAGCCCTTTAAAAATGTAAAAACCATTCTTATCTTAGGGCAGTAAAAATAACTGTTTTGGAGAGGTGATAATTAAAACTGGATTTAATACATAAATGTTTTCTTTAAAGAAACTAACCCACAAGAGCAAAATATACAGACAAGCAAACAGTAGCAACAAAATTTCAGAAGCTAAAAGATGGACAACTGGTAACTCACTCACTTAGTAAATACATTCTAGAAAGGTAAAGCCTAAATCCTGAGTTGAAAACCCCAATTTATATCTTGGAATCCTCAAAACATACAGGAATTGGCAGCACCAGGTGGTACTGCCTGAACTGGATGGAAGAGGAAATTAAGGAAGACTGGGTGAAAGCTGCCTGAGAAGCAGACACATCCTTAGAAGCTACCCAAATCTACCTGATGGTTGGCTACCCACTCTCAGTAACAGAAGTCTGTTGGTTTATTCTCCAGAAAGCCTTTTTTGGTTTTGGTTTTGTTTTTTGAGACAAGGTCTCACTCTGTCACCCAGGCTGGAGTGCAATGGCACAATCCCCATCTTGGCTCACTGCAATCTCCGCCTCCTGAGATCAAGCAATACTCCCACCTCAGGCTCTCAAGTATTTGGGCTAGGCAGGCGCACACCACCATATCCGGCTAAATTTTGTATTTGTTATAGAGATGGGGTTTCACCACGTGGCTCAGGCTGGTCTCGAATTACTGGGCTCCGGACAATCTGCCCGCCTCAGTCTCCCAAAGTGCTGGGATTAACAGGTGTGAATAACCATGCCCAGCCTTGTTTTTGTTTTATTCAGAGTCCCTGAACTAGGAATCACCAGGTATAATTAAAGGTCTAAGTACTCTATCAAAAATAGGGGAATGACAGTCTGCTCCTGCACACCAAAATGAAACAAAAAACTAGTGGCCATCCTTCAACCCTCAAGCAAACTGAGTTTTCCCTCATGAACATGACCTGATAGGAAACATCTGGACATCAGAGTTTTCTCAAAATAAAAAAATGCTCACTTGGATAATGAAATTCAAAGTCTGTAAATCCCAATCAATTCAGGGTTTTCAGCTATCAATCACCCAAGCATTACTGATACCTTAAGTAAGACTAACATATAAGTTAGAGACCAAAACAAATAAATGGAGAAAAGTCAACTTAGAAAAAACAGTCTGCAGCCAGGCACAGTGGTTCACACCGGTAATCCCAACACTTTGGGAAGCCAAGGCAAGAGGTTCACTTGAGCCCAGGAGTTTGAGACCAAAAAAATACGAAACTTAGCTGGGCATGGCAGTGCTTGCCTGTGGTCGCAGCTACTGAGGAAGGTGAGGTGGGATGATTATCTCCCCTGGGGAGGTTGAGGCTGGGAGGCTGAAACTAGAGAGGCTAAGACTGCAGTGAGCCATGATTGCACCACTGCACTCCAGCCTGGGTGACAGAGTAAAACCTTCTCTCAACAAAACAAAACAAAACAAAACAAGAAAACAAGACAATCTGCAAGGAGAAAAAATATTTTTACAGAAGTCACTTAGGCCAGATGTGGTGGCACACACCTGTAATCCCAACACTTTGGGAGGCCAAGGCAGGAGGATCACTTGGGCTCAAGAGTTTGAGACCAGCCCGGGCAACACAGCAAGACCTTGTCTCTACTTGGAAAAAAAAAAAAATTGCCAGGTGTGGTAGTGCACCCATGGTCCCAGCTACTCAGGAAGCCAAGGAAGAAGGATCACTTGAGCCTGGAAGGTCGAGGTGCAGTGAGCCCCAATCACACCACTGCACTCTGACATGGGCAACAGAGCAAGACTCTGTCTCAAAAAAACTTAAAAAGTCATTTATAGGCGGCCGGGCGCGGTGGCTCAAGCCTGTAATCCCAGCACTTTGGGAGGCCGAGACGGGCGGATCACGAGGTCAGAAGATCGAGACCATCCTGGCTAACACGGTGAAACCCCATCTCTACTAAAAAATACAAAAAACTAGCCGGGCGAGGTGGCGGGCGCCTGTAGTCCCAACTACTCGGGAGGCTGAGGCAGGAGAATGGCGTAAACCCAGGAGGCGGAGCTTGCAGTGAGCTGAGATCCGGCCACTGCACTCCAGCCTGGGTGACAGAGCAAGACTCCGTCTCCAAAAAAAAAAAAAAAAAAAAGTCATTTATAGGCTCAGAAATTAGAGAAGATATCGCATCCATGAAACATGAAAAAACACCAGATGCTATATAAAAAGAAATATTTAAGAAAACAAAAAATCTCTTGAGAAATCAAAATCTTGACAACAAAAATAAAAAATTCAACAGAAGGCTTGGGAAATAAAGCAATGTCCCAAATAAAACAGAGCAAAAGACTAGGAGGTGGAAAATAGGAGAAAAAAAGAAATTAGAAAACTAGCCTAAGAGACCCAAATAAATGACAAAAGTTTCAGGAAAAAGAATAGGGAGAAAACCATTGTTATGGACTGAACTGTGTCTGTTCTCCCCTCCCACCAAATTCTTAGGCTGAAGCCCTAAAACCTAATGTGACTGTATTTGGAAATAAGGTCTTTTAGGAGATAATTAAGACTAAATGAGGTCATAGGATGGAGCCCTAATCCAATTAAAAAAAGCTCTCTCTCCACTGAAAATCCATGTAAGGACACAGCAAGAAGACAGTGGTTTACAAGCCAGAAAGAGAAGCCTCATCAGAAACTAACCCTGATAGCCAATTATTCTTTTTTGTTTATTTGTTTGAAATGGAATTTCCTTCTGTCACCCAGGCCGGAGTGCAGTGGCATGATCTCGGCTCACTGCAACCTCTGCCTCCCAGCTTCAAGTGATTCTCCTACCTCAGCCTCCCAAGTAGCTGTGACTACAGGCACTCACACCAAGCCCGGCTGTTTTTGTATTTTCAGTTGAGATGGGATTTCACCATGTTGGCCAGGCTGGTCTCAAACTCCTGGCCTCAAGTGATCTCCCCGTCTCAGGCTCCAAAAGTATTGGGATTACAGGCGTGAGTCACCACACTCAGCCACATCTTATTCTTGAACTCTACTCTTCGGAACTGTGAGAATATACATTTGTTGTTTAAAAAACCCAGTCTGTGGTATTGTTATGACAGTGCTCAAAGACTAATACATCTGTCAATAAAATAATTAAAGAAAATGTCCCAGAACTAATGAATTTTACAGAGTCAGAAGGTACACAAATATCCAGGAAAAAATGTTAAACATAAACGTAACGCCAAGCTACAACCTTATGAAATTTCAGAATATAGGAAACACAAAATTCCAGAAAAGCAAAACATTTTTATACTCAAGAATTAGAGTATCTTCAGACTTTCAAAAGGATGACACGCTAGAAAACAATGAAGCAAGTCCTTCAGAATTCTGAAGGCAAATTATTTCCAGCCTAGAATCCTTAGCCAACCAAATCAAGCATGAAAACAAAACAAAAAAAAAAGTTTTCATTAATGCAAGATCTCAGTCTTCCACAGGAATCTATTGTATGATATACTCCATCAAATGGAGGGGTTAAACAAAAAACAAAACAAACAAAAACACTACATGATTCATGGAAAGGGAAAAATAAGATTTAACACAGCAGAAAGACAAAGGGAGTCACTAGTTTTATCAGAAAGGAAGAAATGCCAGGAAACTATGTATCAGCCATAGAGGGCCAGATCAAGCAAGTTCAAAAACTGCTAAAGACAGCACAATTCTACTCCAATGCATATATAATACCAGCCAGAAGAAATGAGTGTGTATGTTCATTAAAGGCCTGTAAATGGGCCACGCGTGGTGACTCACGCCTGTAATCCCAGCACTTTGGAAGGCCGAGGCAGGTGGATCACCTGAGGTCAGGACTTCAAGGTCAGTCTGCCTGGCCAACATAGTGAAATCCCGTCTCTACTAAAAATACAAAAATTAGCCAGGTGTAGTGGCGAGTGCCTGTAATCCCAACTACTTGGGAGGCTGAGGCAGAATCACTTGAACCTGGGAGGTGGAAGTTGCAGTGAGCTGAGATCACGCCACTGCACTCCAGCCTGGGTGACAGAGCAAAACTCCATCTCAAAAAAATTTTTTTTTAAATTTTAAAAAAATGTAAATGAATGCTGACAATAGCTTTATTCACAATAGCCAAAAACTGAAAACCAAATGTCCAATTTTTTTAAAATTACATTATATTCATCCAATGGAATACTACCATCATTGAAAAGGAACTATGGCTGCACCCTACATCATATATGAATCTCACAAACACAATGTTAAGCAAAAGTAGCCATCCACAAGAAGGTATACATGCTATATGGTTACTGTATTAGTCCACTTTCATGTTGCTGATGAAAACTGAACAATTTACAAAAGAAAGAGGGTCAATGGACTCATAGTTCCAGGTGGCTGGAGAGGCCTCACAATCATGGCACAAAGTGAAAAGCATGTCTCATGTAGCGGCAGACAAGAGCGCTTATGCAGGGAAACTCCCATTTTTAAAAATCATCAGATCTCGTGAGACTTACTATCACAAGAAAAGCACAGGAAAGGCCCACCCCCATGATTCGATTACCTCCCACCAGGTTCCTCCCACCACACATGGGAATTGTGGGAGCTACAATTCAGGACGAAATGTGGGTGGGGACACAACCAAACCATATCATTTCACCCCCTGCCCTGTCCAAATATTATGTCTTCACATTTCATAACCAATCATGCCTTCCCAATAGTCTCCCAAAGTCTGAACTCATTTCAGCATTA